AAATGCAGCATAAATGTACTAGATACAACTGGGACAGAGAAAAGTCATCAGCAAAAACAAAAATAAAGAAATTATCAGACGACAGATCTAAACTGGCCGCAACAGTTTTGTGTCTGGCCGATTACAACATCAGAGCTGCGATGGAGATAAACGACAAAGATGGCGCTGGCTGAGGAACAGCACTCGTTTGAAACGGCTTTGGCATCAACTTTGGAATATTTAGACTTGAGCTTTTCTCTGAGACATGAGCACATAGAGGTACTTGAGTTCTTTCTTTAGAATTAGGATCAATTTGCTTCCTCTGTGACGGTGTATGGTGGACATCCATATGTCACGTTGTTCGTTGCTCTGATTGGTCCTAGCTCTGTCCAGTTGCATGACAGTTTGAAAGACAACCGTAATCCGCCCCATGAGTGAGCTGTTTCAGCGGTTCATGGCCAGATTACGTGTTTACATAAATAGGACGGCTTGTCATAAATGATGGCAAAACTAATAAAAGAATTCTGAGTGAGAATCAGAGCCGTCTGAGTGGGTGACAAGTAAAAGCAACAGATATGTGACCAAGCTGCTGCAGGAAATTAGAGGAAACCCAGACTGTCACGGGTTGGACGGGTAAGAGACAGAACGCCTAGGTCTTGGGGGCATTTTTGTCTCAAACTGAGACACTGTGGACTCTTTCCCAGGAACTCTCACCATATTGGGAATTGGATAAGCACATTATTACCTCAGGCACAGAAAAAGTAACAGACTGGCTGACTACCTCTGGGCCCATGAGCATTGGGACCGATCACTAATGGTCTTAGACTATTTACAATGACATTTTGACTGCTCAACAGCTTGTGGGTCAATGATATCCTGTTTTGTGTTTTTGTGTCCAGATGGTCAAAAAATGCAGGAAAGGCAATATTTCAGACCTAAAACGTATCAATTCCTCATGAAATGTTGATAATAAAAACATTTACTTTAAAAGGGACTCCTAAATGATGTAAAATATCATAATCAATACCTAAAAAATTACTCACTGGGCTGGGAAACACACTGCATTTACTTCTCCATACACACACCAGGAATGCTGTGGAGTATTTTGTCAAAATAATGAAGGAAACATCCTTGTTTATGTCTTGTGATTCTGTAAGCTTTCCATAGTTAACATTTTTAAAAGACTACAGACATCAGTTTAGGTTAGGAGGTAGCAGATTTAAGCTGTTGGGTGAAAAATTTAATCTAAGAAAACATAAATCTATAAAACTGAACTTCCATTAAAAAAATCCCAACGTAGAGAGCCAGAACAACATATATTTGTAGTAGTGTCACCATCCCGTTTTGTAGCATACGGACATTAGTTTAAAACCTGCGTGGACACTAACTGAGACTATTCTTGTAGCTGATCGATCAGCCGTGTAAAAACCAGCAGACAGTGATGCTATAAAAGCAGAGAAGAGCTGCTTTTGGAGTGTGTCCAAACAGGAAGTCGTCATGTGTGACAACACTTGAGTTTATCATTCTAAAGACATGAAAAAGGAAAAACGTGCTTGCAAAGTGGAGCGTAACAAAATAATTGCAATACATATCCATTTACGTCAGTTACAGTGATTTAGTGACCGTTTAAAGCAAACAGTAAAATTCAAAATCAAGTATTATTAATAGCTCAGTAGGGATGGGTACCTTTGACATTTGAATCGATTCGGTACTAATTCCCGGTACCTAGGAATCGATACCGGTACTTAACGGTACCAATTTTCAATACTTTTGAGTATTTAATATTTTAATTCTCTTTTATAATTAAATATATTTTTTTCTCAATATATAACCATATTTGATAAATATCACGATAAATAATATTCAACTGTTTGTATTTTAACATCGTCCTTGTAGTGTTATCAGCTGATTAAACTGAAGCAAACATCTTTACTGTGAACTAAATTTACTGTGTAACTTCATTCCTTTTGCCGTCTTTTTTCATTTGATTTTTCCTACTGGGAAGTTAGAATTTCCGAGGAGAAAGCGAACGCACCATTAGCTGATAACAATGGTGGCAATGGAAGCTAACATATCAAGCTAATGTTATCTTAAACAGTTTATTTAACTGCTGGAGCAGATTAAAACGATGATGCCTCACACTTAGATCGCTGTCGCTGGTTTCATCTTCACCCAATCACCCGTCGCATTTAGTAAAGTGAAGCCAAACTTTAGAGCGCGTTCATGTTCTTCTAGTCGGAAATTCGGAGTTCCGAGGAGAAAGCGAACGCACCATTAGCGGAACGGAAGCTAACATATCAAGCTAACGTTATCTTAAACATTTTATTTACCTACCGGAGCAGATTAAGATGAGGACGTCTCACTTAGATCGCTGTCGCTGGTTTCATCATCACCCAGTTACCCATCACATTTAGTGAAGTGGACCCAAGCTTTAGCGTGCGTTCTTTCTACCATGCTGCTCTGTTTACAACTGGTTTACAGCGACTGACAACATAATGCTCTTGCGCATGCGCAGCTGTCCAGGCAAGTTCTCGTTATGAAGGTCGGGTACCGAAACGAGGCACCGTTTGAAATGACGTGAATTAGTGCTCGGTCAGTACTGTGGAATTCGGTCGGTACCTTAAAAAGTACCGAATTTGGTACCCATCCCTACAGCTCAATCTCAATGTTGAGTATTGACCGTTACACACACATATCACCAACAGGCCTTGAGGAAGTGCAGGAATTAGTGAGAACAAACTAATCAATGACTCATTCCATGCCACAGCAATGAATTCCTCTTCTTTAATGACAACACACTGTAACCTCAGCAGAGAAGTCAAGTGCAACACAAAAGCCTGGTCTCCAGCGGTGATCAGTAAGGTTTTGTGGACAAAGCTAGACCACAGCACCCTGACTCTGGCAGCAATTATAGAGGAGACAATACTTTAATGAGGGAGGAGGATGAGGAAGCAGATGTAGGACCGGGATGAAAGGGAGCGCGGTTTGGGAAGAGCAGGTGTTGACTGAGTCAAGGATCACGTCAGAATGAAAATGTCAAGTGGACAGTAGCTGTGCCACCGGAGAGAAAACAGACAACATGGACACAAAGAGGAAGACTCTGCAGGGGTTTAACTCATAATAAGTTTGAGCTCGTTTTTCCTTGAGGTTCCAGATCTTTACTGGTAAAAAGGTCAGTGCTGTCAGGTCAGCAGAGCTAAACTTCAGCTAACTTTCTCTCCAGCAAGCCACATTTGAGACTTCCGCTGACCGCAGCGATCACTTGCTAAAACAGAAATAGATGTTTCCTGGTTTGAACGTCGGTGTGAACGACTCCACGTGAGGTTGAACTGGTGGCATAGGTGTTTTAAAAAAAGATCCAGAAGAAGAACGACTGAAGGGGGGGGGGGGGGGGGGGGGTAGAGGTGAAGCAATAAAAGAAATCTGTTTCTAAATTAAGGATGATGGAAGACAGGCCATTTTCTACAGATGAAAGCCTTTCTCATCCAAGTGAGGGCCAATTATTTTTCTTGTTGAAAGAAAATATGAACATCTGTGTTTTCTGTGAATAATGGTGCTCCACACAAGGACCTCTGTACACACACACACGAGGCAGCAAACACACACTCACATATTCACCCTGTGGGCTGGGTGACGTCGTGTTTGTTGAGCGGTTCTTGGTGGGAGATTAAAGCCTGACATCGCCAAAGGTGTTTCAGGGTTTTAAAGATGGACAGAAGCACAACTTTCAGATGAACATAAGGGACTAAACTGTGACCCCGGGCCCAAGAGGACTCCGGGCCCTGAGTGGCAGGGCTGGAGCAGATTTACTCTCCGCGTTGACGTTAGATTCAGGGAAAAACAGCATTCTTTCATGACTCATCTCATAACATTAAAACAATACCTTTGTATTTCCTGAAAGACAGCTTTATGTTTGGGAATGTTCATGGTAAAAGAAACGAGGTGAGAAGATGTTCAGTGTTTCAAAGTCTCAGAATCACTTTTATCACCAAATCCAACCAATAGGAGAGCGAGCTGGTCAAACCAGACTTCCACAGAAAATCCTTTATAAATACTTCATATAGCATTGTGACTTCACGCATTAAGACAACAGAGCAGACATTAACAATGCTTTGTTGCTGATGACACCAACAACAGTTTAACTGATGGTTTTTAGGTCTGAGGAATCTTTCTCAGTAAGAGAAACATCAACAAATCTGAAAATAAAAACACAACAAGGCTTTACCTCAGCTGTGTTCACAGGTGCTGAGCTACAATTTTATATGATAGCAATTGAGTCATTTACAACAGAGTGGTGCAAGAACCAGTCACACTGGCTGAGACTGATGTTGCTTTTGAGATTCGACCAAAACAACTTCATAATTTCTCCACTTAAGACGATAGACTGCAACTCGGGTGAGGCAGAAGGCAGTTTGCATTCCTTCGTGGAATTCCAGGATTTTAATTTCATAAATGATTCACTAAGTCAAATATGCAAAGGAAGTTACAGTCAAGCATCCAAAACTGAGGTAGCGGAAAAGCTCCATTAAAACAGCAGACAAGTCAAATGTTTAACCCAACCCTCCAGCGAGCCTGCTTTCATCCGAAATTAGATGAAATCATTTAAACAGTTAGAGCAATTACTGAACCCCTCAGGGCCATCCTGTCTGAAGTATCCATGCCCTCATCCTTTCTCTCCCCCCTCGGAGTCGCCTGACCCTGAGCCAGAGCATGGGAGAGTCAGACACACACAGCAGACTGAAGGAGAAGGAATGCAAACACAAGACACGCAGGAGCACGGCTGGCACCCGGGTTTCTCCCTTAAGACAACAATCACAAATATAGCAGACGCCTCAAACTGAAGGGAAAATAGAAACATGGAGCTGCCTGGGTCAAAGCAATTTGTCAAGAGATGACGGGTGGAAAAGTTGGAGACGGAGGCAGTTTTCTCACGATCACTGGGACGGGCGGCATGACAAAGCAAGGAGAGACGATTGATTTAATGCCCGCAGCTTCTTGGAGAGGGTTTGAAAGTGTCTTACCTGATGTGTCCCACATATTCAGCTCAATCCGGTGCTTGTCAATCTCAAAACTAGCTGTGTAGTTTTCAAACACTGTGGGAACGTAGCTCTGAAAACACAAGGTTGTTTCAGTTAAGATGAGTCCTGTTAATTGCGCAGAGACATTAAAGGTGTAATGAATCATCTGAGGATGACAGGATGGGGATCAGGTCAGAACAAAGCCTCCGGGTCTCCTGGGTGCTGATTTTTCAGACATCTTTTCCTTTGTCTGCAGGTGGATCTAACCTGCTGGGCTGAACTTGAGCTGCTGTTTCGTTTCATTATACGAGGTAGAAGCAGAGCTAAGTTTTCTGGACCTACCTCTGGATAGCAGTCCTTGGCAAAAACGTGCAGGAGTGCCGTTTTCCCACACTGCGTGTCCCCGACCACCACGATCTTACAGCGGCTGCCCAGAGAGTCCATGTTAGTCCGTCACACGTGAATTCTTACAGTCGCATCCAACATCCGAAATGACGCGCAGCGGGACGGAAGGCTGAGAATCCGACACATGTGCGGGACCGGTGCGCGCGCTCTGGTTTCCACTGACAGACCCGCTCAGAACAAGTGCTCAGCTGCCCAGACGCGCACAGCCTCTGGTGGAAACTCCGGTGCTTTCATTATTCTGACTGGCCACGCCTTCCCAATAAACGCGCTTCACGCGCACGGGAAGACTTCATTTCAGTCAAATCAAGTCAAGTAGTCTTTACTTCGGACTTGTCCAATTCACAGAGGTAGAAAGATATTGTATAGATACGGTCAAATAAAATGAGAACAGTCCGACTCGCTTCTCTCTCCGCTCTCGTTACAATAAAAACAATAATAATTACTGTAGTGTTAAAATTAAGCATCCATCCATCCATGTTTCTAAACATCTGGAGACAAATCCCATATTATTAAAGTTTTATTAAAAGTCTGCGCCAAAAATCGGTTTTATACACTGTAAAAAACGCGCGGCTGTAAACAACTCAGTTTGCAGTCTTATGATGACGGTTCAAATTTGGATTTTGATGATTTCTGTCAAAAAGTCAGTTTAACCTGACCTTGTAAAAAGCTCAGGCTACAAACTGGATTGAAAGTATATAAAAAAGGAAACTTGGGTCAGAATATCTGTGATGTTTGGGTTAATTATTTGCTAATTCTATATTCAAGACTTTTCTGATAAACATTTATCGTCTAAAAATTCTGTGAAAACAAAAATGAAAATTTGAAAGAATTTTTTTTACTGTAAAAAGTGCAAATAATTTATATGGTTTGCTTAAAAGCTCTAAATTTAAAGTTGGTGCACATGATTAACTGCATCATAGCAACATCATTAGTGTGAATATCAGCAAAAGGAACAATTACTTGACAAGGTGAATAACTGATTATAATCAGTCACTCGGAGTTTTTATGCATGTTGAACATAAAAACAGTCTCCTACATCTATCTCCATGTTAGCTTCTGATAGAAAACATAGACGGTGAAACTATGGGATTAGAAAATTCTAACAGATCTACGTCACACCTAACATTCATGGACTCATCCATCTTGACTCACAACGGGGAAGGATGTCATTGGTTTAGCATCCGGGAAACAGCAGACAGCGTCCCAATAGAAGCTAACTGTCAGACGCGTGCCGGTGAGTGAAGCAGAGGCAGGATCCACACGGGGGTGCAAAGACAGGCAGACAAGCAGGAGCGGTTTAAAGGTTTTAATGTATAACACGCTAGACATAGAAACAATGATCCAACACGAGACAAAGAACTGAAGGGGTTTAAATACAAGAGGGTTGGGAACTTGGGTGATTGGAAAACGAGAGGCAGGTGGGAGCAGTTAACAGAGACACAGGACTAAACCAAAAGGGGAGACAGGACATGGTGTGACACTAACTGTTAGCATTGGTAAATCCACAACACACAAAAACTCCGCCATGTGTGTGTTATTTGTGGAGATCTACACGTCAGTGACAGAGTTGCGTTGCTGTTATCCAGTCTGAGGCAATATATTCAAATATCAGGACATAAAACTCCAAATCCTGCCATGTTCATCCACAAGCATGTCTGTCTGTTTGTTTGTTTTTCCCTGAGTATGGCTTGCAAGGCATTCATTCCAGAGATCACTGCAAGTGTATTGATTAAACGAGTTTCCCACACCTTTAACATGCAAAGAATCAGAATTTTGTTTCCCATTTTCATATCAGATTGATTGTGTTGAGTTCAGTTTGTGGCTGTAGCTGTGCTCAGTTTTGTAAACAAGAGTTAATAATGCTGTGAGTTTCCTGCAAAACTGAGAAAATATTATAAAATGGCAAAACCTTTTACATTCTTTTTCTTCAGTCTTATTCTAAATCAAGAGAGGAAACTATGTATTCTTGAATAAGCTCACACAATAAAACCAACATTTGAATAGCGAGTGGTGTAATTAAACATTTAGTTAAAGGTATTAGTTGTTTATGATAATTATATCACTCAGGCCCTGAAATCCTTCATAATCTGTTTTCAAAGCTTATTCTTTTGCCAAAAAATCTGTTTCTCTTTCATTTGACACAATTACAATAAATCATTTGTTTCTGAGAAACTGAACATCAAATGAAAGACATTAAGAAGTAAACAGGATTTCACATGGCTCTGTAATTTCTAAGTCTTTCTAAACAAGATGCAGTAGATTACTGAATGAGTTCATACCATCGACTTTAATATAGGGTTCATACCTTCCTTTCTGTTCGCCATTGTTGAGTCATCTCCTCCTACTCACAGACCAATAGCGCCTCCTTGTGGACTTAAACTGTTTCTTTCCAAACATCTTTCTGTGTGTGACGGATTAAGATTATTATTGGATGAATCTACACTTTTTGAACGAATCGCTCTCAATTATGACTTGTATTGTGACAAGTAAAGAGAAGTACATCATGTTTCTGGATTTGTTCCAAACCAATTGCTTTAATCTTTTTACTTTAACACTAGGAATATGTCCATTTAATTGATCTGTAACTAGGAGGTTAACTGCAATGTGACTCATACTGATAATGTTAAAATTGAGGTAATTCATAAAGCCATTTAATAATAATTAGCTTTTCTCACTCACCTCATAATAATATAAGAATTATTAAATATTGTTTTCTTCTTTCTCATTTGGTTTGTCACTTGAGTGGTTGCCACGGTGACTCACTGTCTCCATTTAGTCGTCTGCATCCTCTACCCTTTCACCACTTGCATACATCTCTTTTTTAGCCTTCCTCTAGGTCTCCAGCCTGGTAGCTCTAACCTCAGCATCCTTCTCTCTATGTAATCATTGTCTCTCCTCTAGACGTGTTTGGACTCTTTGCTTTCTTTTGTGCTGCCATGTTGGTCTCCACTGCCTCTGTGAACACCCAAAACATCACCACTCTATGTTGCCACACAGCGACACACAAGTGAAGGAATCTGAACAGGTACAGTTTTAACCTAACTAGAAACAACACTCAGAGCCTTTTGTACAGCAACTCCCAAATCTATACTGTACATCTGCACAAACTGAAGTCTTTTGATCTCACAGACTCTTGTCACCATCATCAGAAAGGGGCGGTCGTGTCACCAGCCAAGCCACAGGCCTGATTCTGTCTTTTATCCTTGTATCTGCTGATTCGATGTGTCCACCAGCACTGGGATGGACTTTAACAATGTGTCTCATAGGCCAGCAAGTCCTAGGGAGTTGATGAAACACAATCAACACAACTGTTCCCTTTGTAATGTCATCTGGACAGACTGCCACTTCTGTCCGGGTTGTTAGCCAAGTAGGCACAGACTAATGAAACAAGCCCAAAAGTGGTCAGCCTCTGTAGTGTTTGAGAAGTCCGACAAGTTCAACAACCTGCTCTGCCAGCGGGCAGAAGTCATCACACATTAAGTGTCCAGCCAGTTTTTTCTGCCAGGAATACTGTGTGCTTCTCCATACCAAAACAGTGTCCTTGCCACTGAGAAGAGGAAGCCATAACGTCCCCCCCCCCCCCCCCCTATGTGCTGCAAGCTACAAGGTCCCCCTCAGAAGGTGAGATTTTTCTCTTTCAATAAAATTATTATTATTTTGTCTCATAAAATTATTCTTCACAAGTTGGTTATAATTACAATTATCTACAATGAATGTTTTAGCTAAAGGGATTTAATAATGCCTTGACTGCTTCACAGTAATGAATGAATCAACATCAATGTTTATTATATTTCATGCCTTATTTCAGGTCTTAAATACACCATATGTGTCTACTTGGTGATTTAATAATGGTTTATTATTAGTTAGAATCAGAAGTTTTTATAGCCTTATGTGTGCCAAGTCACAACATTAGGAAATTGCTGCGGTATTTTGGTGCAGAAGGTAAGATAGAAAAAAATTAATTAAGAGATAAGCAAATATAAGAACTAATAAAACACTCATGATAAAATTATTAATGTAAAAAGTGGCAAGAATTAGAGAAGCAGCTATCTACTCCGTGTAGGTACTAATCTGTTTGTTGAATGGTTCGAGCACAGCATCGGGTTACGTGACTGGGACCAATCAACTTGAGTGGGCTGCCCTAGGATTTCCATTCAAAAGTCCAACTGCAGAGGGGAAGAAACTGTTTTTGTGGGGAGCGGTTCTGGTCCGAATGGATCTGAGCCTTCTGCCAGATGGGAGCGAGTCGAAGAGACTGTCCAGGGTGAGACGAGTCAGCTATTATCCGACCTGCACGCCTCAATGTCCTAGAGGTGTACAGATCTTGAATGGAGGGGAGTTTGCAGCCAATGACCTTCTCTGCAGAGCGCACGACACGCTGCAGCCTCTTCTTGTCCCTGGTGGTAGCTCCAGCGTACCACACGGTGATGGAGGAGGTGAGGATGGACTCGATGATAGCGGTGTAGAACTGCCTCATTGACTGTGGTGATAGGTTGAATTTCTTCAGCTGCCTCAGGAAGTACATCCTCTGCTGGGCCTTTTTTCTGATGGTGGTGATGGTGGGCTCCCATTTGAGGTCCTGGGTGATGGTGGTGCCCAGGAAGCGACATGAGTCCACCATCGTGATGGGAGTGTCAGACAGGTTTAAGGGGGGGATGGGGTGTGTGTGTTTCCTAAAGTCCACAACAACCTCCGCTGTCTTCTGGGTGTTTAGCACCAGGTTGTTGTGGCTGCACCAGGACACCAGCCGTTCAGCCTCCATTCTGAAAGCGGACTCATCCCCATTTGAGATGAGTCCGATGATGGTGGTGTCATCAGCAAACTTAATTAGACAGACTCATGCTTGGAGGTGCAGCTGTTAGTGTACAGGGAGAAGAGCAGAGGGGAAAGAACACAGCCCTGTGGTGAGCCGGTGCTGATGGTCTGTTGGTCCGAGACATTCTTCCCAAGCCTGACTTGTTGTTTCCTGTCTGTCAGGAAATCAGTTATATTCATATTTTAATATCAGTACATTAAATAATGACTGTTTAACTATTTAATTCATATAGTAAATCAAATAAGCTTTCTAACCATCTGAAAATGGGGAGTGTCAGAGGACTATTTGTTAACACCTATTGTAACTCCGAAATGACCACACTGACTCGGCTTCCTGACGACAGGCGCTTCTGCCTTGTTTATTAAACGCCTTGAAAACTACACACAGAAAAACAGTAGTTTCAAAACTTCATTCTTTGAAG